GTCAAATATTAAGAGAGTGCCATGTAGTGGTAAGGAACGGACTAGTGCCAGATGGCCTGGGTTATAAGCCCAGCTCTTTTTTTTTTTTTTGAGACAGAGTCTTGCTCTGTCGCCCAGGCTGGAGTGCAGTAGCACAATCTTGGCTCACTGCAAGCTCCACCTCCTGGGTTCACGCCATTCTCCTGCCTCAGTCTCCCAGGTAGCTAGGACTATAGGTGGCCACCACCACACCCAGCTAATTTTTTTGTCTTTTTAGTAGAGACGGGGTTTCACTGTGTTAGCCAGGATGGTCTCGATCTCCTGACCTCGTGATCTGCCTGCCTTTGCCTCCCAAAGTGCTGGGATTACAGGCGTGAGCCACTGCACCTGGCCCCAGCTCTGTCTTTAGCTGTGAGATCTTGGACAAATCGCTTTTCTTCTCAGTTTCCTCATCCATAAAATGGGGATGATAATAATATAATATCTACTTCATAGGGTTGTTATTAATAAATAAGTAAATAAGTTAATAAATAAGTTAAGTAAAACTGCAAAGAAAGATGCCTGGCACATAGTATGTGCTAATTATAGATGATGAGCGTGTTAATGATGACGATTGCAGATGGAAAGAGGATGACTAATAAGAAGCATTATATTGGCAAACAGAAAATCATCACTGACATTGCTGATATTAGCATGAGCTGTATTGGTAGAGAAGACCTTTGAGATTACTGTTTGTCCAGTACCTGATTAAATAACTCCCATAATCAGGAATTTACTCATTATCTCTCAAGATGGCCCCTTCCTTCCATTACTGGACAGTTCTGATTGTTAGAAGAATGTAGTAGTTAAGGTCATAGACTACATTTAAAGTTAGACATATCTGTGCTTGAATCCAGGCTCTACTACTATGTACCATTAGGTAAGGCATCTTAAACCTCACTTTTCTCTAATGAGGATTAGAATAGTATCTATAATATGGAAACATAATAAAGAGTAAATGAGATCATTCACATAAAGCACTTAGCACAGTATCTGGTATACAGTAAGTGCTCAGTAAATATTAGCTATTTTAACAACTCTACCTAGTCATCAAACTTGCTGGATGTATGAAAGCATGAAGTTACCAACTTTACCTTTCTCTCTGTTAGATGTCTCCGAAACAGCTGCATACTGAAAAGTTATTTTGATGGGTATAAAGCTGTAGAAGCCAACAGAAGGAGCAGGGAGAACCATCCTTTTCTTCTCATAAGAGGGGAGCAAAGGAAGGTGCCTCAATGCCTATTAACCTATTAGTGACATACAGTACTCTTGGTCTTGTGAACAAAATGGAACAGCCTCTTCTGGGCTGAGGGGCTAGAGAAGGGAAATAGGGTGGAAATGGGGATTTGGGAGTTGATTGTCTCCAGAGAGAAGTGAACAAGGAAAAAGAAAGGAGGTCATATGCTTCAGTACATTTTGTATCAGCCAGACCCAGTCTTAGGCAAGACCTTAGTGATGAAATGTATGTTCCATAAGCTGGGTTGTTTCCAGGCTGCTGCATTCATCTTCTTTTCCTATTATTTATTAGTAAACATTCCAACACTCCATCTACAAAATTAAGGAGAAAATATCTGGCCAAACCTTGGTATGACTGAGTGAGGAGCACAATCTGCTCCAGCAGAGCCAGGCAGCCAAACAAGGGGCAGCAGCTTTTCCAAATCAGGATTCTGGTACTAGCTGGAGGCACTGGGGCAGGTAGAGAAGTGAAAACTCAGAAGCCTTTAGTTCGCTGCTTGAGGGTCTCTTTTATGGGGAACAAGGGCTGCTAAGCCACAGTGAGCCAGCTCAGTGTACCTTGTCTTTAGCAGAGCAGTGGGGAGCTCTGCAGTCTCCAGGTACTCTGCCATGCCCACAGAAATGGTCTGACAGGTGGGGACAGCATGGAATAGGGCAGGCAGAGCAAATACATTTCATCTCATGGGCCCATTCTGTTAATGGCTTCCTGGAGTGATGCTTCAGGTTCCAGAGCAAAAGGCTGGGTTTGGTGGAGCTTGATTTATTAGTGTCTTCCACCTTGGGCTACGGGTGGGGGAATAGCGGACTTCTACCACATATTTGCTGTTCAGATATAGAGAAAAGAGCACTGTACTCTGAGTCAAGGCACCTCGTGTGTGAATCCTAAAAACCATGAGACCTTAAGTCAAACATTGAGTCTCAATTTCTTCATCTTCATTCATTCCTTTAACGAACATTTGTTGAGCACCTACTAAGTGCCAGGTGCAGTTAGAGCTGCAGGTGGTAATAAAGATAAATAAAACATGGTCATTAATCTTAAGGGGACAACATTCTAGTGTAAGAGAAAACATGAAGAAATAATGAAAACATGAAGTTTAAGTTCTGGAATAGCATTCTCAGTGCAACGAAAAGAGAGACAATCTATGAGAATCGGAAAAGACTTCATAGAGAGGGTGACATTTGAGCCATTTCTTAAAGGAGAAGTAGCAGTTCATCCAGATGGAGAACAGAAGCCATTCCTGGAAGAAGGAACTCTACATACAAAGGCACAGAAGCATGACAGAGGGCAGGGTATGGAGGAATGGTAAGTAGTTTACAGCTGTACAGGGCAGCATGTCCTGAAGGGGGCTGCAAGAAATGCTGATTCCAAGGGATGTGCATCAGTTCTCTGCGGGAGGGAGAAAGGCTCTGTGGCAGAAAGACAAAAATCAATTAAGGAAAAAAAAACCAGGTTTAAACAAAGTGACACAGGTTACTTTTCTGAAGGGCTTCTCAGGACTTTTAATATACAAAACCTTTGGCTGGGTTCTGTAGCTCATGCCTGTAATCCTAGCACTTTCGAAGGCTGAGGCAGGTGGATTGTCTGAGCTCAGGAGCTCAAGACCAGCCTGGGAAACACAGTGAAACCCCCAATTAGCCAGGCGTGGCAGCATGCGCCTGTAGTCCCAGTTACTCACGAGGCTGAGGCAGGAGAATCGCTTGAACCTGGGAGGCAGAGTTTGCAGTGAGCCAAGATCATGCTGCTGCTCTCCAGCCTGGGTAATAGAGCAAGACTCTGTATCCTAAGAAAAAATTTTAAAAATTCAAAAAAATTATATATATATCTCCTTCCCTATTGGCATGTTGGGAACAAATCAGGTTTTTTAAATTTTTATTTTTATATTTTCAATTTGTAGAGACGAGGTCTCACTATGTTGCTGAGGCTAGCCTCAAATTCCTAGGCTCAAACGATCCTCCCGCCTCAGCCTCTCAAAGTGCTGAGATTACAGGCGTGAGTACACCATACCTGGCTGCAAATCAGTTTTTCAGAAAACATTGTATTTTACATACCTGAAGTCTTTTTGAAATGATCAGTGATTTAAATTTTGGCAAATAAAACCTTGCACTGTCTTTAGAACGAAGTAGAGAAACTAAGATTTGGTTTTGTTGAAAGCAAAGGTGTAGTGCATGCTCGCCCTGAGGGTATACATGAATACTTTTGCAGTTTGGTAAGGAATTTTGACCCCATTTTAGGATATAAAGTCTTTATGAACTATGACTATCTCATCAGCTATTTAATCTGATCATAGAAATACGACTTCAGTGCATCCCTATGAATTAATCTTATTGATTTATGATGGTTAAGAGCTGTAGTTCTGGAGACAGGCATGCCTGAGTTCAAAACCCAGGACTACCACTTTCTAGCTATGGATAATCCTATAAAATGGGGATGAAGTATAGTACCTATCTCAGTGTTGCTGTGAGAATAAATGAGATAATGCATTATATGTGAAGTGCTTAGCAGAGTGCCTGGCCCCATAACAATCATGTATTAAGTAACAGCTATTTTTATTTTTACTGAAAGCTGGTCTTTGTCTTTATTCCCTTCTACTGACACCATTGTTGCATGAAGCAAACGGAGTTGGGGGCTGACTATTTTGAAAAGCTACTACCAAGCTTATGTGGAAAACATTTTTCTGGTTAACATCTCGAAAAAGATACAGATTTATCAGGTTCTGGAAACAAAGATAGTATCATAGACAAGCAGTCTGACAGTCACCTAAACTCAAAGATAATATATACACTATGGAAATCAGTTATCCTTTCAGATTTCAGGCAAGGGGAATCCTGCCACCTTGTGGTGTGAGAGAAGTAGGCCTGAGGCCAAGTCCCACTTACTATCCCTAGCAGAGATGCAGGCCTCTCACAGTTATTGCCCACCTCTGAATTTATGAGACCCCTGGGCAACTGACTTAATCTGTGCCTATTTCTTCAGCTAGTTTGGAATCTCATTATCTCCTGGTTTACTGCAAAGGAAGTTAAAGTGCCAGATCGCTTTCTATATTTTATACAGTCCAGTAATAGAGAATGAACCAGTCTTTAGTACGACTTGCATAAAAACCCCAAGTTCATAAATTTTTTATCTCATATACTACAGAACAAATATTCTTTATAGGTAAAAAAAAAAAAAAAAAAGGACTATGAAAACCACACTTTTTTCAGGCTTGAGGTAGAAATAGGAGGTGACTAAAGAACACTTAATAGTAACTGTGTTTCTGGAGCTGTCTTTTGGATCATAATACATCAGAGTCCTGCTCAGCTCCTTCAGTAATGAGAAATCAGAGGACAGACATCTCAACGGCTAGAAACAAACAACAGAGATCTTTCACAGGCCTCGGGCTCTAAGTCTCTGTGTTCGTGAGAAGAAACCACTTGAAAATCATGAACTATATAAAAGGCCCTAAATTAGATAAGTTTTCCACCTGGGATTTAAACAATCCAGGTAGCTCAACTATCCTTGGTTTGCCGAGAGCTCCCTGCTCTTTAGGAAGAAAACTCGAGACTCTCTTCAGATTTTAGAGGCCTCTTAGAAGAGACAGCATTTGGAGAGTCTAGTCATGTGGTGGAAAATGGTGACACAGTTGCCTCAGGCTAAGTTCAGCCTTTAGCTGAGGTAAGGTAATGAGACGTGCTGCTGGGGGAGGCAGTTGCCAGTTAGAAGGCAAGAACCAAGAAAAACGCTCATATGATTTTCTCCTTTCCTCTAGGTCTTCTGTTACCAAATTGAAAACCTTTATACACAACAGCCAACAATAAAGACAACCTTGTTGATGATAAAAATTCTCGACCACAAAATGTTTCTCAACATTGATAGCATTGGCAGATCTAAAACAGAACGGTTTTTTATTAAGGACTCTGGGAAAAGAGGTCCACTTAGCAGCAGCATTCCAGGTGAAATACCCAAGAGCCATTAGAAACTAGGATCCTGGCCAGGCACAGTGGCTCACGCCTGTAATCCCAGCACTTTGGGAGGCCAAGGCGGGCGGATCACGAGGTCAGAAGATCGAGACCATCCTGGCCAACATGGTGAAACCCCGTCCCTATGAAAAATACAAAAAAAAATTAGCTAGGCTTGTTAGCACGTGCCTGTAAACCTAGCTACTCGGGAGGCTGAGAAGGGGAATCACTTGAACCGGGGAGTTGGAGATTGCAGTGAGCTGGGATTGCACCACTGCACTCCAGCCTGGCAATAGAGAGAGACTCCATCTCAAAAAAAACACAAAACAACTAGGATCCTGATCTATGACTTGGGGGAAAGAAATCTTTTAGACACATGCTTTAAGTTATAGTTTCTTGTGTCACTGGAACTCTATTACCTTCCATTTCCCTTTTTCTGACTCTAACTTTATTCCCTTCAGTTCTGATTTTTTAAAAAATTCTGCAATACCTAAGTAATTTATTGGTGAACACTTTCATATACTACAGTTGACCACTTAACAATGCAGGGGTTAGGGCTGCCAATGCCCTGTGCAGTCAAAAATCTTTGTATAATTTTGGATTCCCCCAAACCTTAACTGCTAATAACCTAGTGTTAACTGGGAGCCTTACTGATAAGATAAACAGTCGACTAATGCATACTTTGTATGTTTTATGTATATTACATAATATATTCTTACAATGAAGTAAACTAGAGAAAAGCAAAGGTTATTAAGAAAATGATAAGGGGCCAACTATGGTGGCTCATTGCCTGTAATCCCGGCACTTTGGGAGGCAGAGGAAGGCAGATTGCTTGAGCCCATGAGGTTGAGGTTGCAGTAAGCTGAGATCATGCCACTGCACTCTAGCCTGGATGACAAAGTGAGACCCTGTTCAAAAAAAGAAAAAAGAAAGAAAATAAGGAAATACATTTACATTACTATACTGTATTTATTGATTCCATAAATTTACATCGTCTGTTTACAAAAAGAATCCTTGGACTGAAATGAAGGGCATCCACAGCCACAGACCTCAATCTTTGATACATATCAAGCAATTCAGCTTTTTCTTGTAATGTCATGACTTCTACTTCTTGGGAACACTTCCAGCATCACTAGTGGCACTTCGTATGGGTCCCATGGTATTATTTGAGGTTTATGGTGCACTAAACACGATGAGAAATACTTAAGAATCTCAAGAGAGTAGTTTTTTCTGCCACATGAAATTTACTGGCGAGTCGAACTGCTCATACAGAGATGATGAGCATCAAACAGCGTTTTGAGCGGATATTCACAACACCTGAGCACACGGCAGCAGCAGTAGGAGGCAGCTACAAAATGACTGCAGTACGGTGTGTATTCCCGTTGGTTTTATGCGGCTATGATTTAACCTTGCTTCTTTACATTTGTTTACATTTCTCTGGACTGTGAATAGCACCATGTACTGTATATGTGTGTAAACTTTGAGAAAATTTAGCATTTTATAATAGGTTTGTGCATATTTTGTAGTAGCACATGATAAAAGACTAGTATATACATATATTTTATGCATTCATGACATACCTTTTAAATTTTTAAAAAATATTTCTAGGCAAGTCTGTGTTTTTTTAGATTGTCAAAAATCTCCAAAAAAAAAAAAAAAAAAAAAAACTTCCAATGTATTTATTGAAAAAAATCTGTGTATAAGTGGATTTATACAGTTAAAACCCATGTTGTTCAAGGGTCAACTGTATTTGGAAGTGTCTTTAGTCTCAGCCTGTTTGAGGTCACCAAAACTGCCTTGGAAGGAATAGTTTGATCCTTCTGAAACACTTGCCCTGATCTGATTTACTGAACTCATCATAACATGTTATAAGTTAGAAAGGACCTATTTACTTTATAAAGAAACTAGGGATGGCCAGGCATGGTGGCTCAAGCCTGTAGTCCCAGCACTTTGGGAGGCCGAGGTGGGCGGATCATCTGAGGTCAGGAGTTCGAGACCAGTCTGATCAACATGGCGAAACCCCGTCCCTGCTAAAAATACAAAAATTAGCTGGGTGTGATCGTGGGTGTCTGTAATCCCAGCTACTTGGGAGGCTGAGGCAGGAGAATCACTTGAACCCGGGAGGTGGAAGTTGCAGTGAGCCAGGATCGTGCCATTGCACTCCAGACTGGGCGACAAGAGCAAAACTCCATCTAAATAATAATAATAATAATAATAATAATAATAATAATAATACAGCTCAAAGACCCTGTGTCTTTGGGGATCCAAGTGTATCACTATCAATATCTATATCAATGCACTCAGTGCTTATAGAACCACATTTTGGGTCTTCATTCAGGAAATTATTTCAGTCATTTGTTCAGCCTGTAAAATTTAAGAATCAACCAATACCTAAGGTATAGTGAGTTGTGTTCTGCTGTGGCAGAAGCACACATATACCAACTAAGCCAAAGGCTTGTCCACTGACTGGTAGGCCTTCTCCTGGCAGTTGCCGACTAACTCCCAGGATGCTTTAGGGTTGGCACTCAGGATCAAGGTCCCACATTGCAGCCCTGGCTGAAAGCAGCTATATATTCCATTGCCCTTCTCTGCGGTGCTTATTAACTGGTCACTTGGCCTGTCATTGTTCATTTTAGCCCTGTCTGGAGATGAGGCTGCTGTTCCTCCCCAGAATATTCTGAATTGATTACAGTAGCTTCAGAAGAGTCGCTTCCATTTTCACATACGTAGTTGAAAATGGCTTTTCAACAATGACTGACATTTAAAAAAAAAAAAAGAATAACAGAAAGAAATGGCCATTTAGACTCCATTTTGGGTGGCACCAAAATTTATAAAATGTTACTATTTTGCAATCCTAAGATGTCCAAACTGACAAACCTGTATCAATAAACAGTAGCATAAGTGTAACACTGTGAAATAAAATTTTATGGTGTACCTGTTCCTGCATTTGAAAGTTGTTTTTAATGTTTAAAGTTTATTGTCACTGTAAAGTTGCTATTGTCTGGGGTTTTGATGTTAAAATGTTTTATAAAATGGTGGTGATACTGAATGGTATAATTTTATCCTTATACCTGGTAAAATAAGTTGGCACCTATGTTGGTCCCCAAAGTTTTTCCCAAAGGCATTTTTAAAGCTGTTTTAGGTTCATACAAAATTAAGGGAAAGCTACAGAGATTTCCCATTTACCCCCTACCCCTACACATACCTGGCTTCTCCCTTATCAACATCTCCCACCGGAGTGGTACATTTGTGACAGCTGATGAACCCACACTGACACACCATTATTACCCAAGTCCACAGTTTACATGAGGGTTCACTCTTGATGATATACATTCTGTGGGTTTGGAAAAAATTATAATGACATGTATCCACCATTATAGTATCATACATATTAGTTTCACTGCCCTAAAAATCCTCTGTGCCCTGCCCAAAAGTTTTAAAATTTTACTATTTTGGTGAAATCCCGAAGTCTTAACAAGCCACATTAGAAACATAAAGTTGCATTCTCACTGCAAAACCACAGAAGCTACTTTCTAAATCCAACCAATCTGGATAACCCAATCCAATCAAACACCTGACATTTCTAACAGATCTGAACTAACATACAGAGCTCTTACAATCCTTCTGAATTAGCTAACAAGCACTGACATTTTTTAGGTGGATGAGGATTATTTTCCAACAATCTCTGTACCAAGTTAGAAAAAAATAATTCAAGCCCAGATCAAGCTGTCTCACATACAGATTTCAATAAATATTTTTATTTTATTTTTTGTTGAGACATGGTCCCACTCTCCTGCCAGGCTATAGTGTAGTGGCATGATCATAGCTCACTGCAGCCTTGAACTCCTGGGCTCAAGCAATCCTCCCGCTTTAGCTTCTGGAGTAGCTGGGACTACATGCATACTCCAAACCTGGCTTAAAAAAAAAAAAAAAAAAAAAAATTGAGATGAGGTCTTGCTATGTTGGCCAGACTGGTCTCAAAATTCCTGGGCTAAAACCCAATGTGCTAGGACTACAGGTGAAAGCCATCACACCTAGCTCAATGACCATTTTTTAGCAAGCAAACAAAAAAGTTTATGTAACCGGCTAGGCGTGGCGGCTCACACCTGTAATCCCAGGCACTTTGGGAGGCTGCAGTGGGAGGATCACGAAGTCAAAAGATCAAGACCATCCTGGCCAACATGGTGAAACCCCGACACTACTAAAAATACAAAAATTAGCTGGATGTGGTGGCAGGCACCTATAGTCCCAGCTACTCGGGAGGCTGAGGCAGGAGAATTGCTTGAATTTGGGAGGCGGAGGTTGCAGTGAGCTGAGATCGCACCACTGCACTCCAGCCTGGCAACAGAGTGGGACTTCATCTCAAAAAAAAAAAAAAAAAAGAAAGAAAAAAGTTTATGTAACCTGTATTAAAGGTCCACTTAAGGCAGGCTTGACAATATTCCAGAAATAGTACTCTCCTAACCTAGTTAGCCAAGGCAACCAGAAATCCTTGGACAAAATGGCAGGAAGCAAGACCATTTTGGGATCAAGTGTCAGGCACCATGCCTAAGGGTAAAGGCCATAGGCTTCACTAGATTGTTACTTCCTTTTCACTTAAATATGAGGATTACTCTGAAATAATTTAGTAAGTTCACATATCCTGAATACCTCTAGTTTTGCCACTGAGAGCCACTACTAGTATCTATTATAATGATCAACAAGCTATGAATTTCAAAACTATACTTCACACATTTACTCTGCTGATTATCAAAACCTCTGGATGTGACTGAGATACAGATAGAGAAAGCACTTGAAACCACTGCCTTTGGTCTTTCTGATTAGAATACTAGCTGTCCACTCCTGAGAGAGAAATCCTGTTAGAGCTAATGACTCCTCCTGGGGTGCTTGTAACCTGATACTAGTATAAAACAGCACTGCCTATTCCAAAGAGAGAATGAAAGCAAATTACAAACATAATTGGGAAAAGAAAAAATACTCCACACTCCAATTTCTCAGGACCCAATAGATTTTATTTCAGGTGGGGATAAGGGACAAGCAGTGTGAAGACAGGGAAGGAGAGAAGGAAGTCTCTATGTTCTGAATGATTCCCTACCCCACTGTTGAGAGTGCCACATTCTGCCCTTTTACAATTTTAATTAATTTTTACTGGGACTTTGATAATACCACAGAAACCCTGTGGCTTCCTGTTAAAATGATTGTGTTACAAGCCTTATTTTTATTAGAAAAGTGAAATTTAACAAATATTTTTATTTGTATTATTTTGAAGCATTTCACCAATTCTAGGTGGAAGCACTACATCATTGAATGGGAAATCAACAAATGAAAAATGAAAAAAAAGATTACTTATCCATTCACAGTAAGCACAATTTTACTAGAAAGAGAGATAAACTTCAAAAAGACAGAACTAAAAGTCACATATAAGACTCTGTTCTTCTATATGCTACACATCAATTTGTGGTGGCACCAAAGTGTCGCCTGCTCTGCCTGAGAGAGCACTCCCCCTAGTGGTTTTGCATAGGAAATAAAGTTAAACTTTTATTAAAGTAAAAATGCCTGGATCAAATAGAACACACATAAGGAGGAAATTCTTTATAAAATAAGTACCTTGATGTTAGGGTGACTTAGAAACAATTCTTAGTCTCTGAATTCTAAATAGCTGAAGACATGCAGCTAAAACAATAATTTTTATTTTAATTTTTCATTGTTTTTGAGACGGAGTCTTGCTCTGTCACCCAGGCTGGAGTGCAAGGGCGCAATCTCAGCTCACTGCAACCCCCGCCTCCCAGGTTCAAGTGATTCTCTTGCCTCAGCCTCTCGAGTAGCTGGAATTACAGACACCCACCACCACACCCGGCTAATTTTTGTATTTTTAGTAGAGACGGGGGTTTCACCATGTTGGCTAGGCTGATCTCGAGCTCCTGACCTCAGATGACCCACCCGCCACGGCTTCCCAAAGTGCTGGGATTACAGGTGTGAGCCACCAAGCCCGGCCTAAAATAATAGTTTTAAATGTGCAAAAATAACCATTTACTGAGCTGATTTATATTTGTTTCAAATTCTTTTTAGATTCAACTTTTAAAAAATACATTAGGCCAGGCGTGGTGGCTCACACCTGCAATCCCAGCCTTTTGGGAGGCCAAGGCGGGTGGATTGCTTGAGCTCAGGAGTTCAAGATTACCCTAGGCAACATAGTGAAACCCCGTCTCTACAAAAATACAAAAATTAGCAGGGCATGGTGGCATGCACCTATAGTCCTTACTATTTGGGAGGCTGAGATGGGAGGATTGCTTGAGCCTAGGTAGTGAACTGTGATCCTACAACTGTACTCCAGCCTGGGCAACAGAGCAAGATCTTGTCTCCAAAAATAAAAATAAAAAACCTTAGATCAAAATAAATTTAGAGCTAAATCATCAGAATTAAACAGTGACTAATAAGATGCTAACAGAAAATCTGAAATTGGAGATTCTTTCATATAACAAAGTTCCTAAATGCCTATTACATATTAGGCACTGTTCTTTGTTCACACTAGTAACAAAAGACAAAAAATAACTATGCTATTTCACATTTAACAGTCTTTAGAATGTTGACTGATTAGATATTCTGTAAGTATCTTTTAGGTTTGTTCTGTTTTTGGTGTTTAAACAAATAATATTCTGACAACATTTAGTAAATTAATATCTTTCCTTCTTGAACACATACACTTTAAAAAATTCCAACTTCTTTTGTAGCCACTAGGCATGCTGAGATTGAGAGACTTATTAGTTATCAGGTACTGACCCTGGCCACCTCCCAAAATTGTCCATATGCCTGGGAAGCAGTGCCTGCCACTGTGCTGGAGTGGCCTCCTTGCAGCACACTTTGCTGTAATACTCTCCAAACCAATTTTCTCTAACACTATGTGACCTATATTGAGGTAGGGCATTCCAATATATCTTCCAATTTTGGTGAATATCACTGAATGGTTCTCAACAATTAATACTTTGGTACACTTTTATTTGGGGGAGGTGGTGGTCACAATGACTAGCATCAGTGGGTAAGGGCCAGAAAGGCTAAATGAATCCTGCAATGGGATGAGTTTTTTATCCTAAAGAACCATCTCACTCAAAAGGCCAATAGTGCTGTCCACGAACGGACACTGAGCTGTTATCACCTGGTACGGTAACAAAGACAGAAGCTTCACTGTACTCATATAATTTTTTCTACTAGAGAGTAAGTCAGATAATTTTAGTATTGTATTTTATTAAATATATTTATATGCCACAAAAATTATTTTAGTGACAACTACCAGGAAAGTACAAAATCACTTAATAACTGGTTTTCTACATCTTGATTTGTCAAGAAACTCATAGGCAAATGGAAAGTAATAAGTACTGACTGCCGTTACTTACTACAGTGAACAGTTTTGAGAACAAGAAGAAAACCTGTAACACTGAAAATTGCTTTATATCCCATTCACAGATCTCTTTAAAAGGTCTACTTTAAAAATAAATCACATAAAGAATTGTTCAGACTTGTTTAGTGGTGCCTTAACTTCAGAACATTTGCAAGGAAATTACATGTAAAAGCAATTATCTCAATACAATTAAATCCTATTAAAGAAAAAAAGTTTCCTATTAAAGAAAAAAGTTTCCTTTAAACCAGTGGTTCCCAAAATTTAGCATGCATCAGAATCTCCTGAGGGAAGCTTGTTAAAATACAGAATGCTGGCCTCCTCCCCAGAGTTTGCTACAAGTTTGCAGGCCGTTCTGATGTTGGTGTGGGCACAACACTTTGAGAACCACCACTTTATGATCTAGTCTCTAGAATTCAAACTAATAAGCAATGCTCATATGCCTTTGCTTTTTCTAATAGCAAATAAATAAAAGAACATTTCAGGTAGCTGCATCAAACTTTAAGCCTTTAGACTCTTGAAATGTTACATTGGCTCACACAACTGTGAGTTCAAAAGACAGAACTAAAGGACAGCCCTTAATAATCTATGACTACATGAAAACATTTATTTACATGCCCTCTACAAAATGTATTTAGAAAACACAGTAACTATTAGGTACACGACCTTGCTCCTATCTTCCCCATAGTGCTTCTTCTCTATAGAAAATCCAATATGAAATTATAAAGAGTACTGTACTCAGAATAAGAACTTCATCTGTCATAAATGTACACATAAATATCAGTGAATTGTCATACTCAAGACTCAAGATTCAGGAACTTCTTCATCAGGGCAGCAGTAATATTCCACAAAACATATTTGTCCATCTTCATTTCTAATCATATACTGTAATGAAAGGAAGCCTCTGTTATCTGTCCGAATAGATACCTTACAAGATAGGACTAATGCCTTTGTAGAGGGTTTCAGTAAAGAAATCTTGTATCTGTAGAAAACAAAATAAAAAGCTGTTATATCAACACAGTGAACACTGCTCAGAACTCCCAAGGACAAAAAGTAGCAAAACTAAGAATAAAATCAGGTACTTATCCAATTTGCTAATATTTTCTCTTGATGTTTTTAAAATTCATCCACTGTTAGAACCCTACATCCCCTAGTAAGTCCAGCACTCTACTGTTTATTTTTATAAAATGCTGTGCATTTTAATTAACAGATTGAAAGTGTTTTTATTTAACAGAAATCTGGTATTTAACCTCCTCTTTATCACCAATGGGAACCTCTATATTAAGAACTGACCTGTTGACTTGGGTCTGATTACAATGAAATGCTTCCATCAAATCAGAATCTTTGGGATAGTCAAGGTGGGAACTTCCTGCATTTCCAAAAGTAGATAACCTATAGAAAATGATTACCTCATTTATTCATTGGTCCAAAAATAAACCACATTAGGATCCAAATAAAGAAAACACTTCCTTAAGAAATTCATACTAGTGGAGGAAACAGACATGTACACAAATGCCTACAACACACGATAACAAGTACCATAATAAAGCTCCCACTAGAGTTCCGGGAGTTCAGGGCAACTAATCAACGGCTTTGAAAAAAACCAATTGTAAAAGGAAAAGGGTAGCGGACACTTTAATTTCATTACCCTAATCCTACTCTGAAAATGACTTTTCCTCATCCTTAAGTCAGAAATATATAACAGGAGAGAGAATTGAGGACTGACGGAAGACCTTGATCTAAGTCAACTGCAACCCTTAGGTCTGTTCCCAATCCTACACCGAGGAATTACAGCTTTTCTGTATCTTAGACTGCTCTCAAGGCTATTTCATGGTTTTCCTCACTTGGTAACACCAAAAGTTATTTGCAGACAATTTGTAAGTGTTAATATGCTGATTTAATCTGCAAGAACTTCTGAAGCATTTGCTGCAGGGTTAGCACATTGCTAACTATTATATGAGCATGGTGATAAGATCCACGTTGGTTTTCTCTAAGCTCCATTTCTGGCCCCCATCTTCCAGGTGTTGGTGTTCCTGGGGTCCATCTTTTCTTTCTTCTAATATAATCTCTCTCTCTGACCCGTCTCATCCATGCCCAGCCATGATGATGGTTCCCAAATCTAAATTTCCAGTCTAAATGGATCTCCTGAGAACCATAACTATGCATCCAGCTACTCCCTAGTGTCACAGATACTTAAAATCTAACATATCCAGGAAAAAATTTCAACTCCTACCTCCCCTACCATCAAATTGAACATATCCAGGAAAAAATTTCAACTCCTACCTCCCTACCACCAAATTGTTTCCCATCCTGGAGATGAAAGATATCATGGTCCATCTAGTTACCCAGGCTGAGAGAGATCACTGAGGAGATCCTCTGAAATATTGTTTAAGTACCTGAAATTTTTCACTTCATTCCACTGCTAAAGTAGGGTTTCCAATTTCCATTTTGGTTAACACTTTTATCGGACCCTGAGCCAAATTCTTAACTCCCCAAAGTCATGAGAAGGGCCTGTGATTCTTTTTCTTTTTTTGAGATGGAGTCTCACTCTATCACCCAGGCTGGAGTGCAGTGGTGAAATCTCAGCTCACTGCAACATCTGCCTCCTGGGTTCAAGTGACTCTCCCACCTCAGCCTCCTGAGTAGCTGGGATTATAGGCACGCGCCACCACGCCCAACTAATTTTTCTACTTTTAGTAGAGACAGGGTTTCACCATGTTGGCCAGGCTGGTCTTGAACTCCTGACCTCAAATGATCCGCCCACTTCAGCCTCCCAAAGTGCTGGGATTACAGGTGTGAGCCACTGCACTTTTACAGCCAGGCCTGTAATTCTTCTAAAGTAGTTACAAAAAGAATACCTTATTCCTTTTATTCCATATGTCTTTAGTGCCTTTATTTAACATTCTGAAATATTTCAAAAAGAGAGTATTTAGATCCTGAAATATTCTGAAAAGAGAATATTTAGATCCTCTCTCTAAATTGCTAGAATCTCTAAACTGAGTCTAACCCTGAACAGACACTTGTGTTAAAGTATCAGGAGCAGCTTTTTTGATATGGTATTCCTGCTGAAAACTGCCCTATCTTGGGAAGCCAGCTTTGAGCAATCATCTCTAAATCCTTATATAAGCGTTTCCCAGGTATCTCTGTGTGCTATATTGGTACTTAATGGTTTGCTGTTTCACGTATGTTGGTTTCACCTTGGTTTTAAGCTGTTCTTCCCATAATGCTTAATAAGATGAATAAGCACATGGTAGGTGATCAACAGATACTTGGTGACTGAATGAACCATGTGTAGAAAACATTTTCTTCTGCAACCTGAACTTGAAAAAGATACCATAATACAAACACCCTTTCAAACACTTAAACCCAATTTTCCTCATGATGTAACCTGATCTATGACAGTAAGTAGTAGTACAATGAAAATACCACTCATTTATAAATTAGGGGACTGGGTTTCTCATCTAGATGCCACCACCACCTAAATATGACATAGTGAGTGAATCTTCCGGGGTCTTAAGTTTCTTGAACCATAAAATTATTAGGTAACAGTACAAGCTGTCTAAAGTTGTGAAAACTCGAAAAATGTGGATAATAAAAATTTTGCACCCTAAGCAAATGTCTAAGTGGGAAGATGGGAGTACAGACCACATTAACTATAACTGCACTGCTCTCAAGTACCTGAAATAAGGCTTGTCAGGAGACATGGTAATTTGTAGGACTTCACTCGTCATATCCAATTCAGAAAATGCTTCACGGAGCCCCTCTGACTGCAGAATAATTTTATTAATAACATTGGTGCTGCAGAAATCAAAATCCAAGGTCTCCTCAGGTTCCTGCGTATTGATTTTGCAGACTGTTACCACTCCTCCTTCTTCCAGAAACAGCATCAAAGGGTAACCATAACCTTGGTAACACATCCGAAGTGCAGTTAAAGTCCCTGCAATGGAAAGAAGTCATACTTGGCGTTAGTTTTATAGCTCTGGGTTCAGCTTCTCCTCGAAATGATACATCAAATTTCTCCAGAATAATTTATTCCGTCCAATTTCTCACATACATGTATTTCCTCATAAAAAGGGATTACATCTTCCCTGATGACAGTTGTGTGTAGACAATTCCAAAAATACAAGAAAACTGGGAACCAGAATAAAATGTAACATAATTCTTCGGAATCATTTTCAGGTTGTCATAAACACCTCAGAAGTAGCTTGTTGATTTTACATCCATAAAATTTCAGAATAGAGAATCTATATGGATCAACACAGCAAGTAACTAAATTGCTGCAGAACAGGGTATGCTATTCCTTGAAGGTTCAATGTGTGTAACAGTGGATTGCTATCATCTGTACTGTAACGTCACTGTACTCACTATGACAAGGATCCTTCTAACTTTTCCAACTGGGAGATATTTGTATTTCCTCACATTTTAAAATCAAACTGAGAGAAAAAGAGGGTTGTTCATGGTGGTGTAAATTTTAACACTGCAAGCCACTAGCGGCAAGGAGGACTACGACAGGATATTCAAAGTCCTTCTCCTTGCTGGACTGAGAGCCACGAGTGAGGAATGGCACGTGACAGATGCTTTTACGAAAAACCAGTTGGAGAACACTGTCATTAGAAAATGTATAATTCAACAGTGGAACTGTCTGTGGAAAGTTAAAATACACTTTTCTGGAGAACTATATTGAATTTTTCCTAGCTGATCTCCAGGTTGCTTTCTTATGAAATAAAATTCTGGGGATTCCTTATAGTTTTATACCTACAGCAATTGAATTTCACCATTCTTAAAAATAATTCCCTTAACAAATAAAAAAATATACATTTTAAAGAAAATCATTTGGCAGCCAGGCACGGTGGCTCGTGCCTGTAATCCCAGCACTTCAGGAGTCTGAGGCGGGCAGATCACCTGAGGTCTGGAGTTTGAGACCAGCCTGGCTAACATGGTGAAATCTCATCTCTACTGAAAATACAAAAAAGTAGCCGGGCATGGCGGCACGTGCCTGTAATCCCAGCTACTTGGGAGGCTGAGGCAGGAGAAGCGCTTGAACCTGGGAGGCAGAGGTTGCAGTGAGCCGAGATTCTGCCATTGTACTCCAGCTTGGGCAACAAGAGAGAAACTCCGTCTCAAAAACACCAAAAAATCATTTATCAAAATAGACATAACTTATAAAATATGGCTTAAAAGAAACAAATTTTGAACACAGTAAACTAGGAGTCAGGAACACTGGCTTTCGTTTTTCTCTGCCACTAACTAGCTGAGTAATTCTGGACAAGTTAGGGAAGAGAAGCAATTAAAACATTTCACAATGTTAAAGATATTAAAGACATGTCCAAAGTATTCTTTTGGCCAGTTCAAATTTAAAATCCCTCAAAGCCTTGTAAATTAAAAAAAGATGAATGTAAATACTTTTACAAATATGAAAGAACTATAAACATACATGCAATTAACATTGTGAAATGTTAGAACCCATGACTGTGGCCACCGAAAAATGAATTGGCATTAGCTTTCTGAACAAATGTTTATATTCCAAATAACTTCCTGTATTTTTCTGACCACTGTATATAACACTTTTATGTCTTTATACTGATAATAGTTTACCTGGCATAGGACTTGATCCAAAAATAGACAAACAGTCTAAAAGGACAGTTAAATTAATTCGAAAAGTAACAGACTCTTCCTGAACTTTAAATTCCTGAAATATTCCAGCCTACGGAAAAAGTAAAAATGAAAATTGTTATGTAAAAGAATGAAAATATACAAGGTCCTAGATTTCACTGTATGTTTAAAAAATACAATACTGTGCTAATCCCATGAGAATAATTTCTGATTAGCAATCAAAACATCTTAGAGATATCCTTTGAAGCATCCTTATATCCATTCCTGGATCTAAAACTATCCCTCTGGGACTCTCCCTTATCTCGTTTTTGTGCGTATCACTACTGCTAAGGTCACTTGGAAAACAGACGGATGACTTGATAATGCATGAGCAATATTAGTTACAACTTTTATTATTATTTTTTATTGATTCGGGGGTCTCACTATGGTTACTCAGGCTGGTCTTTAATGCCTGAGTTCAAGCGATCTTCGTGCCTCAGCCTCAGTCTCCTGAGCAGCTGGAAATACAGGTGTGAGCCACTATACCATGTCGCCGCACAAGGACAAGAACCATGTCTTATTTACCTCTCTATCCCTGAGGTCATGCTGTGCACTTACGTGTTAAAAAAAATGCTTAGTTGAATTTGCAATCCTATCTGAACCATACAAATATTACTTTGGAAGAACAAAAATTCTATTACAACCAGTAAAGGGAAAAAATACTCTTTAGTAACAGCAAGGTGGTAGTATCGCAGTGGTAATAAGAGCAGATATTCTGGAAACAAATGTTCAGGGTTCTTATCCCAATTCAGCCACTTACCAGCTGTGGGACTGTTGGCAAATCACTTAAAATTGTGCCTCGTTTCCACATATATAAAACGGGAATAACAACAGAACCTGCCTTATAGGACTATTGTTAAAATTAAATAAGTTAAACACTAAGAAGACTGTAGCCTAGCCGATAGTCTAGTTTAATAAACTTTAGTCATTACTAACCATTATCTCTGTAAAACAAGATGGGAAAAGAATTTGTTACCGGGAGAGAAAAAAAAAATTCAAGTAATGACGTTTGTTCTTTAACTTAAGACTATTAAGTTATTTATCTATTATTTATTATGACTATTGACTATTAAGTTATTATGCGTATTAAGTTATTTATTATGTCTACTAAAACCTTCGGATTTCATTAAATTGCATTTAGAATATCTATGGCACAGGCTTAAAGGCGCCTACTTCCATACCTGAATAAAAGCATTTGCTTGCACACACTTTGCATTTTCCACTGTTACTTTGATACCATTTTTAGTTGCGAAACACGTGGCATGCTCTCGGAAATGAATAGCTTTCAAAATAGTGTAGAGATTCCTAACGTTGTCAAGGCTGGCCACAAGGCTGTACTGATCATCCTCATCTTGGATCTGCTGGGTCAGAAGGGGCATAGTCCACTGCGCATTCGGCCCGGAGGGAAATGCTCCTGGGGCCAACACCTGCTCGGCGAATCGCGAAACACCTGAAGGGACTGGACAATAAAACTCACATCAGTGCAGGCGAGGTCTGGCGAGCTCCACCTGGGCTGAGAGGTGGACGGGGGCTGGGCGGCTGAAGTCAGCTGACCAGGCCGAACCCCACCTATGTCACTTAATTGTCTTTGTAATTTTGCGGGAAAATTAAGTTACGATTTCCTCGTCTCTGTAAGAGGACAATAACGTGCAAAGTTGTGAAGAATGAAGACACGCAACTGACACGGTATCTCCGCTTGGGGCCAGCTTCTCCCGGCCAAACAAACAGGAGCTATGAATCCGACCGCGGCACCAGCTTCGCTTCCAACAGAACAGGCGATGGGGGGAGCGCCCAGAGTGTCCAGAAGATCCCCCAAGAGTCCCAGACAAGCCCATTCACCAGCCCGCCCGCGGGACAGCATCGCTTATTAGTCTCGGGGTCCCCGAGTGCGGACACCCTACCTTTGCGGTGGGGTCTGGACGCCCGAGAGACCTTCCCAGGAAAGTCCCTGAGGAGGAGCTAGACAGTTCTGAGAAATCGCGTAGGAAGTGGACCCGGTCCCGCCACTCTTCAGACCTGCCCTCCACTTCCGCCACCGTCACCACGGAGCTGAAGGAGGCCTAGAGAGCCGCGCGTGCAGCGCCACTGAGACCGGAAGGAGACACCGCAGACCTGGAGGGCAACCGCGTAGCTGAGCGCTTAGAGCCACCGAACCATAGAGATCGGAAAGAGGAGCGAGAGGCAACGCCGGAAAACAGGCCAAGAGCGCAGGCAGTAAGGCAAGATGGCGGCAACCAAGAGGAAACGGCGTGGAGGCTTGGCAGTGCAGGCGAAGAAGCCAAAAAGAAACGAAAAAGATGCCGCGCCGCCAACTAAGCGGCACACCACCGCAGAGGAGGTGGAGGAAGAAGAGAGGGACCGGATCCCAGGCCCCGTTTGCAAGGTAGAAGGGGATGCCCCCGGGCTACACCGGCGGCGGCGGCTCTGTGCGCCTTTTCTTGGGTTACTTACTTGACTACAGCTCTGCTAATTTCAGAGTAGCCAGAGTGTTAACGGTAGGTCGATTTTAGCAATTCTCCCAGCCAGACTGGGCACCGAGTTTTCAGCTAATCCTTGTGCACGTGTCCGCCCTCCTGGAGGCGGCGGGTTTTAAAATCTTTACCCGGCCCACGGGAAAGCGACTTACAGGGTGCTCACATCTAGCGTTTTGTCTTCGTAGTTGTTGAGTTGTTTTGTTTTGTTTTGTTTTGTTTAATATTTTTGAAAAGTAGGGCTTTTCCTTGGCTATTTCTCGCTGTTGAGTATTTCTTCCAGTGATTAGTATGCCCATATACTGCCATAGTCAGCCACTCTCAGTCAGGGATCCTACAGTTTGTTAGGTGAGCCTTTAAAAAGTTGTTACCCTTAGGACTGTGACTCTGATTTATTAACCAGTTTTCAACTCAAGGGATAATGAAAAATAGGCTAGGTACTATGAGCTTTACTTGTATTCAACAGACATTGAATGTGCCATGCATTTTACCAAGTTAGGCATCCTTTGGGTTTGAGATTGCAAAGGTGACTAGCATGTGACCCCTTCCTCCTGAAATGTTGGAGTTTAGGAGGAAACTTAAGAATTCAAATAAGTTGATGGGTTTTATTCAAAAGAAGTGCACGTTAGTTGGAATTAGCTAGATTTCATTCAACTGAGAACTCATCTTAAGCTAGACAGAATACTGTGAAGGCAAGGATTATCTTTGACATTAATTTCTGCGTCCTCCGCACTTAGCAGAGTAGTCTAGCACGCAGTAGGTGTTAAGTCAATGACCCCGTGTGGTGTGATGGCAAGCTCTAGGAAAGGAGTGTGAGCTCTGAGGAATAAAAGATAAGTGTAAATTCTAGCCCCGCTCTTTTCTGCGCTCTTTTCTGACCTGCAGATTGGGGCCGGGGAGGGGGGAGAGAATATTTACTTTTTATGAAAAATAAGCTGGGCTTGTACACTTCCAATAAATGTTAGTGTTCTCACTCTTCCCTTAAGGAGCTAGATAGTATCCATAATCTGAGCCATACTTTGATACGTTCTATGGAAATGCAAGAGATAGAGATTACGTTTACCCTAGTATAATAAGATAAAGAATCATGAAGGATTTAGTCTTTAAGCTGCATATCAGAAGAAGTGTAGAATTTTGACATTCAAAAGACTTTGAAGTAGGGAAATGCTGAAAAATGTAAAAAATAGAGCCAGATTGGATTGCATTAGGCTTCATTTGGGGCAATAATGATGTAAAAATGAAAATGTATTTTACAATTCAGTGTCGAAGCTATGTCGTTTGAACTTTGTTTAGAAAACTCTGGGACGTAAGGATGTGACTGAAGTATTACTTTAAAAATGGCCGGGCACGGTGGCTCACGCCTGTAATCCCAGCACTTTGGGAGGCCAAGGAGGGTGGATCACTAGGTCAGGAGTTCAAGACCAGCCTGGCCAAGATGGTGAAACCCTGTCTCTACTAAAACTACAAAAAAAAAATCAGCCAGGTGCAGTGGTGGGCACCCATAACTCCAGCTACTCAGGAGGCTGAGGCAGGAGAGTCGTTTGAACCCGGGGGGTGGAGATTGCGCCACTGCCCTCCAGCCTGGGTGACAGAGTGAGACTCCATCTCAAAAAAAAAAAAAAAAAGAGTAAACTTGAAAGAGCTAGTCAACCATATCCGTTGGAGGTGTTCTTCATGTCTGAGAAAGTTAGCCATTTAGGAGTTTTGCAGTTAATATAAGACTCTAAGTGCAGTGTGAATAAGAAAGGATTAAGAATTGTGAGAAATTATTATGAGACCTCTGCATGGAGAGCACAGAAATAAAAGAGGGCTAAGAAAGTACTTTCAGGGTTGGGAGGAGGAATTGGAGAGATTGAAGATGAAAAACAAGAAACCAAGGAGGGCATTTCTGGGTGGCATATGTGGTCAGTGAATGTTGGTGAGAGATGAAATTAAAGGAGTCAGGATGGTTTGACTTGCTACCTGGAAGCTCTTAAAAAACAAACAGGGCCAGGTGCAGTGGTTCTCACCTATAATTCCAGCACTTTGGGAGGCCAAGCCGCTTGAGCCCAGGTGTTGGAGACCAGCCTGGGCAACATAGGGAGACTCCTGTCTCTACAAAAAAAAAAAAAATACTAACTGGGCATGGTGACACATGTCTGTAGTATCCAGCTACTGCAGATGCTGAGGTGGGAGGATCACTTGAGCCCAGGAACTTGAAACTGCAGTGAGCTGTGAGCATGCATCACTGCACTTCAGTCTGGACAACAGTGTGAGACCCTGTCACAAAACAAAGTCAGTTCAGTATGAGATTTTAAAATCTTTTTAACATTTTCTTTTTCTTTAGGGCAAGTGGAAAAATAAGGAACGGATTCTCATCTTTTCTTCCAGAGGAATAAATTTCAGGACAAGACATTTAATGCAGGACTTGAGAATGTTGATGCCTCATTCTAAAGCAGGTGCCTTTGTATCATATACTTTAGAAATTTCTGTCTATAAACTTAGCTATTTTTATGTTTTCACTTATTTTATATGTTATTCATTTGTTCAGTGTTTTCACGAAAAAAACACAATACCTTTTATCTTTTCAAGTGCCACAATTTTTCTAGTTAACATTTTGTAAGAAATTCTTTAGACTTCATTAGGTAGTTTCTTTACTTTTTAAAACAGATATCCTAATATTATTGAAGCATTTCTTGAAAGTCCAGGAATGCCTTCACTGTAATGTTTCTAAAGGTCCTGAGATAGGTGGGATGGTTTGTCCTAAGTGCTAAGGACTGCCATGTGTTGCTTTTTGGGCTTTTTTTTTTTAACTGTTTTTATTGAAAAACGTACCTGGGATAGAATTTGAAGCACCTTTTAAGTTGGAGTCGAAAAAAGTAAAGTAAATTAGCCAGGTGTGGGACCACTTGCCTGCAGTCCCAGCTACACAGGAGTCTCAAGCAGGAGGATGGCTTGAGCCCAGGAGGTCAAGGCTGCCATGAGCCATGATTGTGCCACTACACTTCAGCCTGGGCAAGGAGCAAGACCCTGTCTCAAAAAAAAAAAAAAAAAATTGTTTAGAACAGTGAAGTGGCAACGCATCATATTTGTGCTTATGTTGAGAGGTGTTTTGGGTTTTTTTTGTTTTTTTTTTATTTTAAAAATTTTAACTTTTTTTTAGATTTAAGGAGTATATGTGCAGATTTGTTACACAGGCATAAAGTCAGTTTTCTTTGACATCTGTGATTAACAAGTGAAAGATATCTTCATTGAAACTGGTTTCCTTAAACATAGTCTTTGGTTTGTGAGAATTTTCCCATTTTTGAAAAGGATTCCTAAAATACCTAAATACTGAGAAACACTGCTTACACTATAATTTCTAATTCTTACAGACTCTATTTTATTTTCTTTACATTTACAAAGAGTCAAGATTTTTTAAGCGATTCTTTTCAGGTCTTGTTTTGAAAATTAATAATAAAATCTCCTTTAAACTGAAGAGTGTAAAAACACTTATTTTTTAGATAGCATATGTGGTTTGATTGAAATAACTTTGAAATCACCTTTAATTTACTTGCTTCGTCTTTTTTTTCTTTTTCTAGATACTAAAATGGATCGTAAGGATAAGCTATTTGTGATTAACGAGGTAATTTTAGAAAGTAATTGCAATAAAATATTTTAAAAACATTAACAGTGGCTCATTTCAAAAATAAGTCATTCAGTGACTTTAAAAATTGTTTTGTAAAAACTATTCAGACACGTTTTATTAACTCTTCAATAACTGCTCTTCCAGATTTTTCTCCTACAGTTTAGTGCTTCAGTCATGTCTGTTTGTTTTGTCTGAACAAGCATATTGAAATCTCAGGAGAAGGATTATGTCTCATTTTTTAACCCCATAGTGTCTAGTATTATGCTAAATCCATAGTAGGTACTCAAAAAATGATCAGTCAGCATATATGAAGTAAAATAAGAAGTCCATTAAACATATCTATATATGTAGAAACCCCACATGATAAAAAGTGTTTTGCCAGTATTAAAAGTGATTTGTGTGGAACTGCTCTTAAGGTATTACAAACTAGGAATAGGTTACATTTTCAAAGTATACTACACTTATGTATATTTTTTTAACCTCTGGAAGCACAGAACACGAATTTACATTTTAAAGCAAAATTTTCAAAACTTAGAAGAATTAGGATCATTTTTTTACTATTAGCCCTCTTGAGAGCACAAATTTTTGAACCTCTGCTATAATACCACATCATTCTATGTGTTGCAGAAACTGTGTTTAACAGAGCAATGTCCCTATCATTATGGAACTTACATTCTAATGGAGACAGGCCATAAACAAGGTTTATAATTCCAAGTAAAGATAGGAGAAATGAAGCAGGTTATAGGTTTTCAGCAGCTGAGACTAGACCGGAAAAACCTGTTCAAAGGAATGATGTTTAACTTAATATTTGAGCAGAGATTTAATGAAGGAGAAATATGGTAAAAGACCATCTAGGAAGAGAAAATAGCAACTACAAAGGCCCAGAAGTGGCACAAGCTTCCCATTTTTGTGT